ATAAATCAAAAGCACATGTGTAAAAGTCCAGATTCTACAAGTACATTTGACAAATTTTAACCCCTGAAAATTTGAAGGATCTACCTTAAATAGTTTTTTAGATGCAGCAGTCTGAAATTGGCTCTCCTCAGCAAACTCTGCTCCAAACAGTTCAGGGCAGAGTTGACAAAATATTTTTTAATGACAAAACTGTAAGGAGTTGGGAGCTAAAATTTTGGACTTTTCTTATTCCTTTTCCTAATCTGAGATGTTTGAGCCGGGGCATTCGGAGATTTGGCGTGAAAAGACCCAGACGTTAAAATGCAATGCTGAGGTATATATTGTGAACCATTTTATTCTAAGCTGAGGTCCTATATATCATCTGTTTGAGTCATATTTTCCTGACTGAATGGGGCCAAGAATATCCCAAAAATAAGACAACGTATGATGGATCCAAATGCAGCTCAAAATAAAACTAAATGAAATTAAATAAATCCATTAGATGCAAGTTCATATAGTCAAACTTTATGAACCACCTTTGAGGACAGACTTTGGCATTCTTGACTCCTAACTTTAAGGAGAGGTTATTTCATAATTTCAATCAGATAAAATAGAAAAGTACAATTAGGCAATGTATGTTGTTTAGAATTTCCATCATGGCTTCCAGCTACCCACACAGCAGGTAGGTTTGTAACTTACAGGAACAGCCAGCCCTGAATTTTGTGCAAACACTACAGTCAGTTATTTTATTTACTTTATTTATTGGTTGTTTTGAGGAGTGATAACAGCTTTGGACTTTTCAAGGATGGTCCACATTTGACACACATTAGAAAAAAGCTTAAGTTGGTAAAAAAATTTTGTCACTTTTGTTTAACTGATGCCTAAATCTCAAATTCAGCCTCGGCCTATGTCATCAACACCAAAAATTCCATGGACAATTTACACACGTGTATATATGTCTATGGAGGAATGTTTAGCAGTTACCATGGTGACACGATGACCACATTAGCAAACACAGCCTGATAAGTTTTTAGATTACTCTCCACCAAATTGTGCAGCTTTAAATAAACCCATTGTTTATTTTGTGACAGTAGTTGAACATTATGGCATTTGATCATATTTTTCGTTGCAGCATGCTAGCATAATTTCTACATTTTTGTCTGTAGGTATTCATTAATAATGCATGTTTATAGAATCAGCTTATTTGAAAAGCTTCTGTAACAGATCGAGTGGGTCCACTTGGCAGGAGGGCCTAAGCCAGTTTCCAAACAACAGAGACATGTTGTGTAACTTGCCAGGAACAGACTGGTTTTCTGTATCCAATCAAACAAGTCATTTCAATAAAGGGTCAGATTGAAAATACCTGTGATATTCAAAGACAAAACAATAACAAGTAGTAAAAGAGTTCAAGAGAGAATAGTGACAAAATGTTCTCACGTGATATTTTGAAAAGCTGTGGTTACCATGGTGATTGTCAGAGTCATAATTGATCTGACAAATCTTAAATGAAAGATGAGGCTGTTCTCTTTAAAATGAACCAAATACAAAAGTTTAAATCATTATCAAAAAATAGCTTAGATATAGAATTTTTCAAAAACTGATATGTCAAATTTTTGGGTCTGGTCCATGGATTAATAGACTAGATATTGCATTATTTTTGATCTATGTCATAAATAGTGCTGTGCATGTTACTCTGAAAAAGTCCATCCATCCATTTTCTTTGGCTTATCCGAGGCCAGGTCGCGGGGGCAGCAGTCTAAGCAGGGACTCCCAGACTTCCTCACCCCGGACACTTCCTCCAGCTCCTCCAGGGGGACCCTGAGGTGTTCTCAGTCCAGCCCTGAGACATAGTCCCTCCAGTGTGACAAATGTCAGGAGCTGGTCAGCAGCAGGAGCTGGTCAGCTGCCCTCAGCGCTCTGGGTGGGGTACAGGGCTGTAGTAACTCCCTCAAATAAAGTGGATCCATAGAGACCAAACATTTAAACACAAACAATATAACATTTTGAAATGCACCCGTATGAAGCACAGGCATGATAAGCGCTCATCTCTTTTTGTCAGCAGACGAGCTGCAGTGTTCTGGACAAAACCAATGATGTCTGTTTCTTTTTCAGTTCCTCAGGGTTGTGGATCTCCACCATCCTTGGATAATGGAGATTTCTTGGTCTCCGGTGGAACATTTAGCCATAACTCAAAGGTTGAATACCAATGTCAAGTCATGCACATAATGGAAGGAGGGCCATACAAAACCTGCCTCAACGGAGTTTGGACCGGGGACATCAAATGTCTCAGTAAGACTCACATATTCACACTCCAACATCTACATTGTCATTTATAAGAGCTGTGATCTTTTTCTGACGGTCTCTTATTGTCACCCACTTGGAGATTTTAAAAGTAACTGATGATTTACACTATGGAAATTAATATTTACACTTATTTTTATTATGATTTAATGAGACAAAAATAAAATTGAACAGAAAATCTTGAGTGATCAATATGACGACAATGCCTGCATCGAAGGAGCTCACCCTATCGGCACACAGGAGATGAGAGTGATCTGTACCGATGGAGTGATGCTCCTCCCCACATGTGTTTAAGAAAGATCATGGTATATGTACAAAATGTATACATCCCTGTTAAATACAGTTTACAATACAGATTGATGCTGTTGAATAATTCAGGAAAATCACTGACAATTGAAATTTTTTTTGTTTCCTTTAAAGATGCACTATGTAACATTTCTATTGACGGTTCCACCACCATGGAGATGTCTTTGCTTTGCCTAGCATGTTCACAAGTATGGCATTCTCCATTTTGCATGTATTCAGTTAAAAATGTTTCATGCCCTCCCAAGAAAGCATGCATTCATATAATGGAGTCACCTCTCCACAGAAAACTCCGTGAAGGAATGATGACTCGGTCAGGGCACAGGAGGAGTGCTGGAGAATTGAGCACAAATGGCATCAAACGTCCAGGTTTGTCATGAGATTTACGAAGAAAAGAAAAACAACAGTATGAGTAGAAGAGAGAGGTACTTTTTAGACATAAGTGGAAACTGCAGTAACAGCTCCTGTCACGTATCCTGTTTGCAGCAAATGTAGTTAATATGATTAAGTGAGATTCAGGAGCAGGACCAGGCCTCAGCCGCCCTCTCCTCTCACCAGTGAACCACAACTCACCTCCACCACGCCTCGAATTTCCCAGAAGCCTATATGTAGCAGCCTTTCCCATCACCCCAGTTTGTGTCGGTGAACTCGACCCCACCCTCCCATTCTCTATTTTGTCTTTCAGTCATAAGACCCCTACAAGGGGGGTCCCGTTCCGGCTGGGCCAATTACTGATTGAGACAGAGCCCCCACCCAGAGTCTCAACCCAGCCATCTCTGCCTCGCTTCGTACATTATCAATAAACTTCTTCGCACTATGTTGTTGTTGGTGTGGTCCTAGCTAGTGAATGAACAGATGAACAAACCCTCCAGCTCCACTGCAGTTACAACTAATTTACACTTCTAAGTGAAATTAATTTGCAGTTTTCTTTCATGACAAGGTTCAGGGCATCAAAAATGCCATCAATTCTACTACGTAGAAAACAAATCCTGCAGCCACAGAGACACTAAGAGCTGAGTCACTTTGTACCTGTAACAAAACTGTCTGAGAGATCATCACGAGTTCATCTACATGCTGCCTCCATGTATTACCCATTAGATTTCTAAAGTGCTGGAGATTGAGCAGGTTGCTCTCGCCACTCGCTCATATAGTTTAATTTCACTTCAATCTAGAATATTCTCAAGAGTTTAAAAACTGGTGTCATTAAGCCGTTCCTAAAGAAGAACAGTATTGATGCCACAGCAGTAAACAATTAGACACTCATTTCAAATTTGCTGTTTTAAGGCAAAGTCCTTGAAAAAGCTGCTTACCAACAGTCTAAAACCTGACTCCTGACATCAGGTTTTAGACTCCACCACAGCACTGAGACTGCTCTTCTCAAGGTGACAAATGACATCCACCTGAACACTGATGCAGGCAAAGTCTCAATGTTGATCTTGTTAGATCTGAGTGCTGCTTTGACACTGTCCATCATGACCGAGACTGGAGGACTGGATGGGCATCTCTGTTAGAAGGATGACAAGAAGTATTTAGCTGAAATTGGAAACTGTGACTCAGATCACATGGCCTTGACCTGTGGGGTGCCCCAGGGGTCGATCCTGGGACCTCTTTTGTTCACTCTCTGCATACCTCTATTAAAATGCAGCAGTAATGTCCTACCACAACTGGACTCACTCTGCCACTGCATCCAACAGATCAGTGTGTGGAGGCAAAACAACTTTCTCCAGCTAAACTCAAACAAGACACAAGTCATTGTTTTTGGCCCACAAACAAAGAGACAATGTCAGCAGTCACCTCCAGTCTCTCTCTCTCTGAAACCTTTAAATCAGGCTGGAAATATATGAGTAATAATGGATTTTAACTTCAACCACCACATCAAATAACATCTGCAGCTTTTTAACATATAAAAAACATAGCAAAAAACAGCAAAGCATCTTAAAACAACAAAAATCGAATATAATCTTCTAATATGAACCGTCTGCACTCTGGGCACCAGCAGGACGCCAGTCCCTGAGGTCCTCAGAGTCAGGAATCAACATGGGGAATCAGAGTTTCAGCATTTAAAGGGCCCATATTATACTATTATGTGATCTATGTGATAATGTTGTTTCCTCATCACAAACAGACCTTCAGTTGTGTTTTGTTTTATTCACGTATGTTTAACACACAAACCTTTCATATTTAGGCATGTCTGATCAGTCTGGACCCCACATAACAGCCCCTAGTGATTTTTTTTTTCTTAATATTCTCTGTAGACCATGTGTGCCCCTGATTGGCTAATCCACCTGTCAATCACACCCATCTGAAAAGTGGATATTCACATTTGTAAAGTATTGAAAAAGTGTGTATTCTGGATCGGACAAGCCATGAGGTTAGAATAAAGGTGCAATGGCCTTTACCAAGTATTGATTGGCTGGGTATTACACAAATACTGAACAGGACACGTAAACCTCTCCACAGTTTTCAGTCCAAAGCAGCAATGAAGCCCACAGTGATTTTTATGCTGTTTCTATGGAGACTTGTGGAGTTTACTTTAACACTAAATGGTACGGAGCATTTTTAATCTGTCCACTTTTAAAACCAGATGTCTTTTTGAACATTCCTCACTCTCACTGTGGCTGGTATTGTCTCTTAGAGTGTTCAAAGCTGCCTTCAGTTCAACATGCATTTGTATTGGACGAATACAAAAAGGCAGAGTACCAAAAGGGAGATGTGATTTACTTCTGCTGTGATCCTGGTTTCACGACTGGTCTGAACACCACCTACATCTGCACTGAGGACGGCTGGACAGCTGAAGCCATCGGCCAATGTGTTGGTGAGATGTCATAATTAGAGATACTCTGATATATCGAGCTGATATTTGGACTTTTTAGCACATTGCCTCTCGGTCTTAAACCTTCAGCACATGCCGATACTTAGGTCGATCTGTTCCCACACAAAGCTACTGAACTGCTGATAATTGCTGAAAACACGGCTACACTGCTCTCATGACGGTTTGGTAAAAAAGGGCTGTGGGTGAGTTTGTAGTAAACTTAAATTGCATAATTTGGGGATGATAATCAAAGTCTGCCCTACATATCAAGCCAAAAATATTGGCAGAATTTTTTGAACATCAGTTTCTCTGAATCCTAAACAGTCAGTATCAGCATCAGCCATGAAAAAGGCATCTAGGTTGATCTCTGTAGTTATGGCACAACTGTTTCCCAAACAGGGGTACACAAACCCTTACCAAGGGTACTGGAAATGTAAAATTAGATTATAAAGAAGCTGGAAATGGAATATAAATGTTCACTGTAGTAACTTCTACAAGCTTAAAGGTCCTATATGGTCCTCTTGAGAGCTTTAAGCCATGTTAAAATATCGTTACCTCATCAAAAGCATTCCTGGAGTTGTGATTTGCTTCATTCACACATATTTAACAAACGCACTCTGCACGGTTCTTCTTTCAAACAGAAAACACCCTGTTCCACCTTGTGATATCATCTGGTAACACAGTAAGCACCCCAGAGTTTTTATACTGCATGCACATTCATAGATTAATTTGGATATTTGCAGATCTGGAACTGACAATCTCTAAACAAAAGGTAAAGGATAGATGTTAACTTGAAAACTACCACTCCATGACATCACAAGGTGGAACAGAGCAGTTAAGCTTTGGAGATGGAGACAGACTAATAATAAAGGATTACTCAAACATGTGTGAATGAAACAAATACAACTCCAGGTCTGTTTTTGAGGAGGTTCTAACATGGCTTGAAGCTCACAAGAGTCAACAGTGTGTAATATAGGACCTTTAAAGCACAGGCCTGATCTGTTGTTTTCTTGTCACAGAGAACTCGTTTCCTGTGCTTCTGGGCTGCACTCCCCCTCCACCGCTCACAAATGGATATTTGCTGGATAATACAACGTTAATCTATGGAAATGGTCAGATTGTCAGATTCGGATGTGATGATCACCACACTATGACTGGAGCATTGTTTAAAACCTGCACCAATGGACAATGGACAGGTGACATCCAGTGCATTCGTAAGTCAAACCTTAATGATGAAGCCTTAATGTATACATGAACAAATACCAGTACATACTTCTGATTTCTTGTAGCTGTAACATGTACTCAGTCTTCATATTTTTGGCCAGAAAAAACAACTTGTCCACATTGTCTGCAAAAAAATGTCCCCATTGGCTGAAAATACACTTTCACTAGAGACAGAGGTCGTGGGTATGGAGAGGTATGGAGAGGTATGGAGGGGGGCGGAGATTGCATGCCAGCGAAAAGCGAAAGTGAGGACAACCGTAGTTTTGGGAGGATTCACGTGGTTCGGAGGGATGTAGTTATGGCAGGGGGTAATTGTTGTCAAGGCGGCCACCCTAACTATAAAGCACTGCGGAAACACTGCCCCAGTCACGGATGAGTTTCCTCTGAATATTAAAGAGCCAAGCCTCCGTGTAGCTGCACATGTAGTGGTGGAATGTAAACACACAAAATTGCGTGAATTCAATCGTGCCCAAACCGAACGTCGTGTACCAAAACTCTTCAGCACGAATATATATGTGCCGTTACACCCCTAATATTTACACACAAGTTTTTATGATTAATCACTATCACATTTACAGAGAATATACTGACAAATGGGCCCAGTCAAGCAGAACTAAACAGCAGGGCCAAAAATTCAAGTTAATGCATCTGATATAAAAATGTATTGAACAGATACATATGTACTCTAGTTTATGAAACTGTTGACCTTTTTTCTGTACCATTTTTGGTTCTAAAGTTCCATATGTTTTTAAACAGACCATGTATGAAACCTGGAACAAAAATTATTTCCCAAATTTCAAAGACCTGCAAATCATGTCAATAAATGGATGTATTTCATCATATCTTGTGTTATTCCATCTTTGAACTGTTGATGAAGGTACATGATTTAAAAAAAAAAAAAATTTAAATGATAAAATTAGCTTGGAAGGACTGACATATTTTATAGAAATAGTTTCCTTTCATTTTGAAGTAATATTAAAGTATTCGGAAGAAAAAAGTTGACAAATGATGTAAAATCCTGCACCTTCTACTTGTTTTTACAATTTTCCCTCCGTTACTTTTCCCTCCGTTACCATGACCTTTCTTTAAAAAAAATCTCATGACTCAAAAAGTAAGAGGTTTTTCAACCTAATCTTGTACCATATGGTAGAAAAACTATATGAAGCAAATATTCAAACCAGTTTCTTAAGGATATGTAAGTGAGAACCAAGAGTTATCACTGTTTGTGTTTATTGCCCAAAAAGTGCTGCATATTTCATTCCCTCCGTTACCGACATGAGTTTTTTAAATTTTTTGTCAACAACTTGAAAGAATATCACAGGTTTAACTTGACCCTGTTGGAGTGTAACTCTTTCCTACATTCTGATACTTTACTTATTTCAATAGTTCCTCTAGTTTCTGAATAAGAGACATTTGAATGTAAAAAATCTGTCCATTTCCCTCCGTTACCGCTTGACCGGACCCATATATGATTCAAACCATTACTCATTGTTACAAGTAAACATAACATAAATAAAATAAAAGTTAAAGGCCCTGTACCTGATTTTTCTTAATGTGAAAAAGTTCATTTTAAAACGTTTGTGGTGCTCCAGAGTTATTCCTCACTTATGCAGTCAGAGCATTTCTAATTATTCACTGCACTGAGTTTATAAGCGTTTTTTAAGCGAAACCAGAGCAAATTATGCGAAGGTGAATATCTGAGTAGTATTTTTCATGTATACTTTTACTTTTATTTAAGCATAATTTTGGAAGCTGTGCTTGTAATTGCCATGTAACTACTTTTACTACAAATATGCAGTACTGTAATCTTTCCACCACTGAGCAAAAGTAAAACCTTATTTGAATATGTTTACTTAATATGTAATGACAACATGTAAGGGACAGTTATTTTGTTTTTGGCCCGAGCCAATAACAAAGTAACTGGTGAGGACTACTGACCCCCTGAACCTCAACGAAAAGTCTAACATGGAGATGTAGAATCGACCGGCCTGGTAAAAATTTTGATAACATGGGCATTGTGACAATGCCCGAAGTGACCCGACTCAACAGTGTCATCTAGAAGTGGACCGGTGATTGTGCCCATGGAAGTGTAATAAGATCTTATTGTAGACCCATGGTTGTATCTGATCAGATGATGAATATTGGCAGACCTTATCAGTTGCTCTTGAATCTAAATAATTGGTATCAACATTAAAAGTGAAAAAAAACAAAAAAAACATCTGTAATTAGTCATTGTTTGGTGAAATAAGTGGTCTAACCTGTATTAAGCATTTTCGTTTCCATTGTACTAAATACCTCTCTATAAATAACCTAAACATGTTGCTTTGGATTTGTTTTACAGTAATATTGTGTCTCGAGCCTCCGCTGAACCACTTCAGAATTACTAATAAGAAGGATGTGTACACAGAAGGGGATGTGTTGAACTACATATGTGACGAAAAACTATATAAAGAGGGACGGGAGACCTGTAACGTGTGAGAAAATAGGCCAGTCAGCTCAGTGGGTCCCCACGCCTCAGTGTGAACATGAGTCAACAAATTCAAAGGTTAATGCTAGAATGTAGGGTTGGGAGGGACGCCTGGCTGTGACTGGTTCTCTGAAGTGACCAAATTTAGGAACAGGGTTATTTTTAAAGTTAGGAAACGAGTTATGGTTTAAGGTTAGGAAAATGGTTAAAGTTTGGGTTTGGTTAAGTTTAGGAACAAGATTAGAAGCCTTATCTCAACTTAGACATAAAATAAAACATTAAAAACTTGACATTTTAGGCCTGATCACAGCAACAGAAGCTGACATATTACCATGACAACTGCCACTGCTCGATTTGGAAATGCAGATCATGGAAGTATAATAAGATCTGGAAGATGAACCCAACATGAACATAAGAATCCTACAAAAAAGCTGTCGTTGCCCTGTCAGTCGAACACAGGCAGTTTGATTTCACAAAATTGTATTGTGCTCTATGGTCAGATACACTAATCCTCTCATTGTGTTTTATGGGAGGATTCTTTCTGGGCCGGAGCTCCTGGGAGCTGCAGTACCTGGAGCGACCACTAGTCGATGTTTTTTAGATCCATACTGCACATGCTCAGATACTTCAGCGCAAGCACTGGAGTTGCTATAGTAACTGTACTTTAAACAAAAAACAAAAAAAAAAGGATTTGTTCAATCAAATTTACTCTCAGAATAACACTCACTAGTGTCTGAATATACTGGTGTATGAATGTGTGTGTGAATGGGGGAATGGTTCCTTGAAGCACATTTAGTGCCTTGAAAATGGAAAAGAGCTGATAAAATGTGACCATTTAAATCAGATATTATGCTTATTATTAACTCACCTGAGTGCGAAACTGGGAAAAATGACTTCAGAGTTTCAAACCCATGGTTTCACGTATAGTTTTGGATGTTATGGTTGTCATATTTTCTCACGATATTTATTCACATGATAAAGGAGGTCACAAATTCCCCCAAAATGACATTAACTCGTTTTTGACCAGATATGATGTTATGGTGTTCTGCCTTTGTAGGGCAGTTTGGTCAAATACAATTATTTTTGTTTCTATTTCTAAGAATACACTCCATGAAATTGATTTTTAATATTAATATATTGAAGCTTAGTAATACTTAACAGTGACAGAACAACTAATTACATAAAATTAAATTATAAAAGGTGCCAGATTGAGCAATGACAGCAACCAGAGCTACATTTTAATGTCCGTCCCTCCGTCCCTGAATCTAGCACAAACCAAATAACTCATGTGTTAAACCAGATATCTTCAGTAATAACAGATTTCTGATTTCTTGTAGCTATAACATGTAAAGTCAGTGCTGACCCACCATCAGGCACTACTTACAATCCTCGGGACAGGATCATTTTCACCCCTGGAGAAAGTTTGACCGTCACGTGTGGAGAAAATAAGTGGGTGAAGAGCACCGAGCTTCAGACAGCTCAACTCGTTTGTAAAAACACAGGACGCACAGGAAGCTGGGACTTTAACCCTGTGTGCCAACGTATGCAACAACACACACTACACACACAAATATGTATTTAGAAATTGATACTTTGCAGTGACATCACGCTGGGGGTACTGCATGTATGTCTGTGGTGGAATGTTCAGCCGTTACCATGGTAACACAACGCACACATTAGCAAACAGATCCTGATAAGTTTTTAGATACTAAACGGATTCAAACACATTTAAACAACACATTTTCAGGAGCCTGTGATGCTCCCATTTAGGTGTTTGATTTTCAACAAAAAGGGACAGAGACGAAGTGAAAAACTGTCGGCTAATGTATACTTCACACTTGTCTGACAGCACAAATCAGATCCCCCTTTGTAGTTCCAACTCAGTCAGGTTTTTCTGGTTAGTTTGTGTTAAAACAAAGCTCAAAGTTTAAAGATTAAAGTCTAAGTTAAGTAACAGAGCTTCAGACAGATCAATGCCTCCAGTTAGCTTCACACTCCAGTGAATGTTGATGTCATCAGCTGCAAAGTATCAGTGTTAATCTTTAAATCTCTTTAATGTCCTTGTGTTGTTCTTGTGTTTACTTCAGCGGTCAAATGTCTCAAAGATGATCCACTTGTCCACCAGTGGGAAAAGACTAGAGATCCTTATTATCCGTACTCTTATCGGACCTCAGCCGACATTGATGAAATATTATGGTATGAGTGTCGTGGAGGTTTTGAGGCTGTGGACAGGGACAGCAGAGCCAGGTGCACCAGACGAGGCTGGGAGCCAAAACCTCTTTGTAAAGGTACTGTGGACTACTTTTTATGTTATATTTACACACACATTTTCCGGATTCATCACTATCACATTTACAGAGAATATACTGACAAATATGTATAAAACCATTACTCACTGTTACAAGTAAACATAACATAAATAAAAGCAATAAGTAAACGTTAAAGGCCCTGTACTAAGCATTTTTTACAACTTTCAGAGACCAGAGCAGAGTTTTGCATCACAGCAATGCAAACAACTAGCATTCTAATACACTTCCTGATTACCACTTAATAAAAAGCTGTAAAGTTTAGATGCAGTACACAGTAGACTTATTCATGAGCTGCTCATACTGTATCTGTACTGGGGCAAGACAAAGTTTGCTCAAATACAAGTCAGGTGTAGGGCTTTTAAAGTTAGTTTTTCATTCAAAAGGTTGCAAATGCTGTTCTTTGCTCTAATTTTCTAACTTCATGTTTTCCAGAAAATAGCTGCACAAAACCTTCTTATAAAAATGCTGAGATTACTGATTATCATCAGTCTGACAAATACAACACCAATGACAGAGTTTATTTTAAATGCACCTATGAACCCACCCGAACCTTTTCCGTTTACTGTCTAATTGGAGCTTGGATAGGCTCAGTTGCAGAGTGTAAAGGTAAGCAGCATTTACAAACTGTAAATGACAGGTGTTCATGTTTTTGTAATGATGACTTGGTTTGGTGTATGTTATTTGTGGTAAATATTTATCATAGTTTTACATCAGTTAAGTGTCAGTTTGTGTAAAAAGACACAAGGACACAACTACACTACCAGTCAAAAGATACTTCAGCACAAGCACTGGAGTTGCTATAGTAACTGTACTTTAAACAAAAAACAAAAAAAAAGGATTTGTTCAATCAAATTTACTCTCAGAATAACACTCACTAGTGTCTGAATATACTGGTGTATGAATGTGTGTGTGAATGGGGGAATGGTTCCTTGAAGCATATTTAGTGCCTTGAAAATGGAAAAGAGCTGATAAAATGTGACCATTTAAATCAGATATTATGCTTATTATTAACTCACCTGAGTGCGAAACTGGGAAAAATGACTTCAGAGTTTCAAACCCATGGTTTCACGTATAGTTTTGGATGTTATGGTTGTCATATTTTCTCACGATATTTATTCACATGATAAAGGAGGTCACAAATTCCCCCAAAATGACATTAACTCATTTTTGACCAGATATGATGTTATGGTGTTCTGCCTTTGTAGGGCAGTTTGGTCAAATACAATTATTTTTGTTTCTATTTCTAAGAATACGCTCCATGAAATTGATTTTTAATATTAATATATTGAAGCTTAGTAATACTTGACAGTGACAGAACAACTAATTACATAAAATTAAATTATAAAAGGTGCCAGATTGAGCAATGACAGCAACCAGAGCTACATTTTAATGTCCGTCCCTCCGTCCCTGAATCTAGCACAAACCAAATAACTCATGTGTTAAACCAGATATCTTCAGTAATAACAGATTTCTGATTTCTTGTAGCTATAACATGTAAAGTCAGTGCTGACCCACCATCAGGCACTACTTACAATCCTCGGGACAGGCTCATTTTCACCCCTGGAGAAAGTTTGACCGTCACGTGTGGAGAAAATAAGTGGGTGAAGAGCACCGAGCTTCAGACAGCTCAACTCGTTTGTAAAAAAAACACAGGACGCACAGGAAGCTGGGACTTTAACCCTGTGTGCCAACGTATGCAACAACACACACTACACACACAAGTATGTATTTAGAAATTGATACTTTGCAGTGACATCACGCTGGGGGTACTGCATGTATGTCTGTGGTGGAATGTTCAGCTGTTACCATGGTAACACAACGCACACATTAGCAAACAGATCCTGATAAGTTTTTAGATACTAAACGGATTCAAACACATTTAAACAACACATTTTCAGGAGCCTGTGATGCTCCCATTTAGGTGTTTGATTTTCAACAAAAAGGGACAGAGACGAAGTGAAAAACTGTCGGCTAATGTATACTTCACACTTGTCTGACAGCACAAATCAGATCCCCCTTTGTAGTTCCAACTCAGTCAGGTTTTTCTGGTTAGTTTGTGTTAAAACAAAGCTCAAAGTTTAAAGATTAAAGTCTAAGTTAAGTAACAGAGCTTCAGACAGATCAATGCCTCCAGTTAGCTTCACACTCCAGTGAATGTTGATGTCATCAGCTGCAAAGTATCAGTGTTAATCTTTAAATCTCTTTAATGTCCTTGTGTTGTTCTTGTGTTTACTTCAGCGGTCAAATGTCTCAAAAATGATCCACTTGTCTCCCGGTGGGAAAGCACTAGAGATCCTTATTATCCGTACTCTTATCGGACCTCAGCCGACATTGATGAAATATTATGGTATGAGTGTCGTCGAGGTTTAGAGGTTGTGGACAGGGACAGCAGAGCCAGGTGCACCAGACGAGGCTGGGAGCCAAAACCTCTTTGTAAAGGTACTGTGGACTATTTTATATGTTATATTTACACACACATTTTTAGGATTCATCACTATCACATTTACAGAGAATATACTGACAAATATGTATAAAACCATTACTCACTGTTACAAGTAAACATAACATAACGTAATAAATAAAAGTTAAAGGTTTTGTACCTGATTTTTACTGTCTTACAAATGTGAAAAAGTTTCTTTTTAAAAGGTTTAGTCAGGGAGCCAAAGACTCAAAGGCTCAATAAAATGGGTTGAACCTGATACATGGTCTGTCATACATTTTATTTGTGTTTTTTGTTAACGTTGACCCTAATTACCAATCACGGGGCGGTTTGCTCTGCCAGAAATGTCGCAAATCTTTTTTTTCTGGCCGTTTTCTTGCAAATATGAAAAATTTCCTGAAATTCTCAGTGGGTTGGGTAAGCTGTCAATAAATGCATTCCAGATGGAAAGAACACATGTGGTGACAACATTCAGTGAAAAAAAAAATTCTTAAAAACACATTCTTCATGATTTTGGCTCAATTTAATGCAAAAAAAAAAAAAAAAAAAGGCGGTAATGTTTTTTTTTTGTTTGTTTGTTTTACTTTTTTCCAAATATTTACATCTTTACCTCATTGGCAATCACCTATTGCCCCAAGTTATGACATCAGCCAATATGCCATTCTTTTCACCAAAAAGTAAACTCATTCCACAGAAAACAATATAATTCTAACCAAAATCAATGGATCTGTGATGATTTTACTACTAGTTGGCCATCAACAGGCCCAGAACCTATCAGCGTTCTCTGTATGTTTAGATTAAAATATTCACGGCTACAGCCACAGCGAGCATCAGTCAGTCTTAACCTTCATCTCAGCTGCATTTCTCACATGAAATGTGACCAAAAAATCCTCGGGATGCTGAAATGTCCCAGTTTACACCAAACACCAAAAACTATCAAACTTTCATTTCGTAATTGTAATTCTTGACGTCGTAACTTTTTAATTCGTATTCTGATGGATAAAATACATGCAATATATTTTATGTACGACTGGACTCATTTGACAGTTTACAAATATTTATTTTATGAGCAACTACAGCCAAATATGCACGGATTTCCCAAATATGCACGGATTTCTATTCTTTGCACGCAAATATTTTTGAAAGCTTTCTTACTCCATAGTTTTGCCTCTTTCAGCATCATGGTTGGCACCAATCTGCCATTGACAAGTTGTCTCCCAAAACCAGTGGCAGTTGGGGCAGGTTGGCCATGTGTGCCGCTTACACACAGCCTACTGCTGCAGAGCTCGGCTAAGGTGTAATAGGAAGGCATCTTCAGTTGGTGGAAGGCAACGCATGTCTCCTTCGATACTCACAGAGAGATGGACTTGCAGTGCGTCTAGAGTCACTCCTGTCTTAGAGTTTGCCGTGCCGCTGTTATAACCTCTTCCTGAACATCCAGGCTTTCCTCAGGGTCACCGTACCTGCACAGTGGCAGAAGGTCTGTCAGGTGTTTAGTGGCAGTTGTGTAGGCCTGTCTTTTCCCTCTTCTATACAGATAGCTCAGTGTATCACATCCAGTAAGTATGTAGGTGCTGAGGAGAAGTGGCGTAAGATCTGAAGCTGCAACATCATACTTCCCCACCAGAGTTTCATGAACCAGTAGGAAGATATCCAACATCTTCACAGCTCCTGCAGCCCATCCGTGTGTGATGTAGTACATGCACATCATGATCACATCTTTGTCAGTTGCAACCACTACAGCCCGTTTGTGGTGCATAATTTGTACTGAGTATGCAATGTGAGCAAACATCCTGGTATCTGCCTCCTCCTGGTTCTCACAGGAAAGTTCTGAAAGTTCAACCTGACAATTTGCTGACAAGAGGACAGTGGGACCAGGATCATACCAATCATGAGTTTGAATGAAAATGAGTCCATGTCTATGGCATTCAAAGCCAGAAAGGTCTTATTTCTTTGCACTGAATTGAGCCAAAATCATGTTGAAATGTGTTTTTAAGAATATTTTTTTCACTGAATGTTGTCACCACATGTGTTCTTTTCATCTGGAATGCCAACCCACTGAGAATTTCAGGACATTTTTCGCTTTTCAAAGGGTACATACACTAAAATGGCCACTTTTTTTTTTTTTTTTTTCAATATTTCTGGCAGAGCAGACCCTCCAACTATTGATCCTTAGGGTCAAAGTTAATTTAAAAAAAAAAAAAAAAAAAACACAAAAACACAAAAAGTATGGCAGACCATGTGAGGTTCAACCCATTTTATTGAGTTTTTGAGAGTTTGGCTCCCTGACTATATGGAATTAGGTAGTAAATAAAAAAGTTAAATAATTACTATTATATACTATATAAAAAGCAAAGGGTGAGTTATTTCACAGAGTTTGTTGATTTAAATATAAAAACAAGCAGTTATTTTACTTATTGATAGATCCATGTTTATAACCTTGTTAACTTTAAAGGAATGCAGTTTCTTTTTAACGTAATATTAGTCAAAAAAAAAAAAAAAAAGTAAACATTGTTTTTAATCATCTGGCAGGTTTGAAGCAAATGTGACAAATGTCAGGAGCTGTCAGCAGCAGAGCTGGTCAGCAGCAGCAGGAGCTGGTCAGCAGCAGGAGCTGGTCAGCCAGCAGGAGCTGGTCAGCAGCAGGAGCTGGTCAGCAGCAGGAGCTGGTCAGCTGCCCTCAGCGCTCTGGGTGGGGTACAGGGCTGTAGTAACTCCCTCAAATAAAGTGAATCCATAGAGACCAAACATTTAAACACAAACAATATAACATTTTGAAATGCACCCGTATGAAGTGCAGGTTACACAGCACAGGCATGATAAGCGCTCATCTCTTTTTGTCAGCGGACGAGCTGCAGTGTTCTGGACAAAACCAATGATGTCTGTTTCTTTTTCAGTTCCTCGGGGTTGTGGATCTCCACCATCCTTGGATAATGGAGACTTCTTGGCCCCCAGTGGAACATTTAGCCATAATTCACAGGTTGAATACCAATGTCAAGTCATGCACATAATGGAAGGAGGCCCATACAAAACCTGCCTCAACGGAGTTTGGACCGGGGACATCAAATGTCTCAGTAAGACTCACATATTCACACTCCAACATCTACATTGTCATTTATAAGAGCTGTGATCTTTTTCTGACGGTCTCTTATTGTCACCCACTTGGAGATTTTAAAAGTAACTGATGATTTACACTATGGAAATTAATATTTACACTTATTTATTATGATTTAATGAGACAAAAATAAAATTGAACAGAAAATCTTGAGTGATCAATATGACGACAAAAATGATTGATTCCTTTACATTTTGCCTAGCCATATAATTATGAACATGCTTGAAAAAGCTTGGATCATGGAACAATCACTTAGATGGTAAAAAGATCCAGAGGGACATAAGTGATCATGTAGCTCTGGCTACCATGGTAACTAATTAGCTTCTGTTGTTATGAACAGGCCTAAAATGTTATAGTTTTGACTGTATGTTTTTTTAATGATGTACGTTGTGATAAACTAGTATGTGACCAATCTGTTTTTTAAAGTTACATCTGCTAACACACTGTGATATTTGGGCCCCACAACAATTTTAAAATGGGACAGAATTTGTACTCCTTCACGTGTCAGACATTTGATAATTGCCAATGGTGGTAGGGTCCGAGCGCTGCTGAAGCTGGTGAGAGCGTCATGTGCAGGTAAAAGCCAACTGCAGGCGATGAAAAACAGACTGAGTTCAAACGCACAAATATGAAAAGATGGGACCAAAAACGTGTACACAGCCCTACACACAACCCTCCTCTACACAACCATCTCTCTGCACAGTGTGCATATTCACGCTGTGAGCTTTGTATGAGATTCAATTGCACAGTCTTAAAACTGTACCAAATCACACTGTAAAACCATTTCCTTAATTCTAACCATAACACCTTTTCTAAGTCCTAACTCTGTTCCTAAACCTAATTTCTTCAAATGACCAATAATCACAGCAGACCGTCCCTCCTGACCCGACATTCTAGAATTAACTAAAGATGATCTCTGTTTTTTCCCCAACAGAACCCTGCACGGTGACCGACGACCTGATGCTACCAAATAAAATAAAATTCAGATATGGACGGAGACAAAAGCTGTACATCCCCCATGATGATCACATGTCATTTGCCTGCATCGAAGGAGCTCACCCTATCGGCACACAGGAGATGAGAGTGATCTGTACCGATGGAGTGATGCTCCTCCCCACATGTGTTTAAGAAAGATCATGGTATATGTACAAAATGTATACATCCCTGTTAAATACAGTTTACAATACAGATTGATGCTGTTGAATAATTCAGGAAAATCACTGACAATTGAATTTTTATTTTGTTTCCTTTAAAGATGCACTATGTAACATTTCTATTGACGGTTCCACCACCATGGAGATGTCTTTGCTTTGCCTAGCATGTTCACAAGTATAACATTCTCCATTTTGCATGTATTCAGTTAAAAATGTTTTATGCCCTCCCAAGAAAGCATGCATTCATATAATCAGTGTTGGGAAGGTTACTTTTAAAATGTAATCCCCTACAGATTACAGATTACACACCCCAAAATGTAGTTTGTAACGTAATCCATTAAATTACTTAAAGTGAGTAACGTAATCTGATTACTTTGGATTACTTGATATTGTCATGTTTTTTTAAACGACATGAATGTAGCAACCACATCCTGAAAATTCTTGTTTGTTGTCTTCAAATTGTCTGAGCCCAAGTCTCCATGAATAAACAACTGTTTACTGTAGAGAAACAAAGACCACGACATCTTAATATAAGAGGTTTTGTCTGTTAAAAGACAGAAACAAGATCAGCCTTTCCTTCACCAGATTAAAAAATATTATTGATAGAGAAATAATTTTTTATATGAGATCATCTTAAATTATGACAACCTACTGTTAGGTGTCATGTTGTTTTAGTCCTGCTTTAGTCCTGCTTTAGTCCTGGTTTAGTCCTGGGTTAGTCCTGGTTTAGTCCTGGTTTAGTCCCGGTTTAGTCCTGGTGTTAGTTCTGGTTTAGAGGCGCACAGGAGGAAGCTCGGTTTACGCAAGAAAACACGGTCCACACGCGGCGCACGAGACGTCGGTGTCCACGCAGTAACTACAGAAGGAGACGTGGTCCGCGGGTTCTCAGATTGATGATGATGATGAAGGTGTGTGTTGTGTGTTTGTGTTTGTGTTTGTGTGTTGTGTGTGTGTTGTGTGTTTGTGTGTTTGTGTTTGTGTGTTTGTGTTTGTGTTTGTGTGTGTTTGTGTGTGTGTTTGTGTGCACGTCTACTCATGTGGCAGGTCACTATATGACAGTAGTGCAGATATTATGAGTCTATGCAGGTTGTTTTCACACCAGTGCCAGTAGCTCCTGTTTCACATTTAAGTTGTAGGCGATTTTATATTTGTTTGTTTTTTTATATTTATCTCACATCGGGAGAAGAATTTCCAAGACACAAATGCGTTTTTTACCAATGCACTGCTGCTTCCACTGTGTGACTGACACCGCCAACGTTAATATGACATTTACATCGCTCTTATTGCGCACGTTCTGTTTGGGTTTCCGGGAATGAGTGAAATTACCGAAATAAAAAAATAATAAATGCGAGGTAGCACAAAATGTGAAAACAGGAAAATACCGCCTTGTAATCCACTTATTTCAGCAAAGTAACTGTAATCCAATTACCACTCATTGAAACAGTAACTGTAACGGAATACAGTTACTCATAATTTGTACTCTGATTACGTAACGGCGGTACATGTAATCCGTTACTCCCCAACACTGCATATAATGGAGTCACCTCTCCACAGATCTGACCTGTAAACTGTTACCGTAATTTCCAGACTATAAGCTGCTACTTTTTTTCTCACACTTTGAACCCTGCAGCTAATAAAACATTGTGGCTAATATATGGAATGATTCTTTGTTTGGCAGATTGTCTGTTCATATAAACGGTGTGTGGTTTGGAAACACAGTGGATACACACAGCCTGAGTGCAGAAAACACCACTGTCTGTGCGATTACACATGGAACATGGGTTAACATGAAGGTGCAGCATTTGTTAGTGATGTTATCAGTGCACTAAAACAGTACGATAATATACGTTATGATGCCAAATGAACATTAGTGAGGGGGATACGTCTTACGTCCAATTCAGGTTGGGGTGCAAAAGACAAGAAGAAGAAACAGGTCAGTAGCCACACATCCACTCATACCTGATCAACACAACTAGCCCCACCCCCGGGAGAATCTGAAATCTGCTGAAATCCTCCAAGACACTGACATGATAGAAACAGGACAGAGACTCTTTCTGCAGGAGACATGTGAGTAGAGCACAGGGAGAGACGGGGATGATGAGCCGAGGAAGATGTTGTTTGATTGTGTTTTGAACAGTTATTTTGTGCTTCATACACACACCCTCCTTATGGAAAACACATGAAGAAATGCAGATGATGCAGCTTTTAAATTAAAGGCAAATGATCTGGCTTTGGAAGAAGGAAATCGAGCTACAGCACGTGAGCTCAACATCAGTGAGAGTTGAGAGGTGAGATTTTGACGATGGCAGCGTGACGAACTGACTCAATGCAAAAAGACGACAAAAACTTTCAGAGGAGATAAAAACAGACAGGCCCAACTTGAAAACGTTCTTGAAGATGTGGACACTTGCGGCTTATATTCAAGTGTGGCCTATATATGTACAATTTTAAAATGTTATTAAAATTAAATTCAGGTGTACTCAATAGTCTGGAAATGACAGTACATACTACATACTTGCTGTAGAACATTCAAGGCAAAGCAGTAACATCTCTATGGAGACCTTTCACCAGAGAAGTTACACGATGCATCCTTAAAAATCCCTTTTTATTTATTATATGCTTTATTTTTAACTGCTAAAGATCAGTTAAAAGAAAATCTTTATTTGTCTGGCTATGTGAAAATTTAATTGTTGCAACAATAAAGTACAAGAACAGATTTTTTTTCTCATTTTAATTCAGTTTCTTAATGTGCAGTGTTGTGTAGCGTTGAACAATGTTAATAATATAAAAAAAACTGATTTAGACCATTTCATTTTTTCAGAGGTGTCCAAACTTTTTCACCGAGGGTCACATCTTTAAACATCTGAAGTGGAGGGCCACAGACTGGTGGCCAACACAGTGGATCATTCACATGGTGCATTTTACATAGTTTTGACAGTGTCACCATAGCTTTAATAAGGCTTGAAACATTCATTTTAGGTCTAAATCAAATTACAATTTGATATTATAGAGAATATAGTGGCAGAATGAATTACCTTTACTGTACATATGTCTCTCTATGATAAACTGGGCTAGTTTAGACACCCCTGCATTACATGTTCCATTGCCTTCATTATTTGTGGTATACAATATAAGTGTGTACAGTGAACACTGACCAAAACGAAAGATGCTACCAGATTATAGCAGGTACAATACTTTCCACCTGCCCGCCTTGGATAAATTGATGTAAAAATCTAAAAGTAGATGAAGACACATAAATGATAACACAGATGCACTCTTCATGGGAATGATACACTTGAAAATTGCCTCATGTTCTAATGTGGATGATTTGTTGAAATCTGTGATTTTGTTGTGATTTGAATGTTCTGGACGTCATTGCCACGATGAAGGTTAAAATAGTTAAAGATAAAGGTCTATCTATCTATAAACAGAAAACTCCGTGAAGGAATGATGATGACTCGGTCAGGGCACAGGAGGAGTGCTGGAGGATTGAGCACAAATGGCATCAAACGTCCAGGTTCGTCATGAGATTTACAAAGAAAAGATGTACATGTACAACCACAGTTTGGGTAGAAGAGAGAAGTACTTATTAGACATAAGCGCAAATTGCAGTAACAGCAAATGTTACGTGTGGCAAGGTAGCTGATAATGTATTCTCTGCCATGTGACACCTGTGTCACATGGCAGAGACTATAAAGGTCAGAGGGGAACTAGGTGACTTCCTCTTCCTGAGCAGGCCTAACACACGGCTATTTCTGGTGAGCCAAACAAATGCTGTAATGTTTGTACATTTCGATCTTGTTAGAAAACAAATTGGTAATTTCTGTAAACATAATTTTAAGGGTTTTAACAGTCCAGATCAGAGGTATGCTTTTAAATTTTATCTTATTGTTTAATTTTAATTGATGTATTTTATTAACCGCACTGTGTCTACAGGCTCAGTGCTGGTTGCCGTTTTTGAGTGTTGGTTTGAGTTGATTGTCAATTTGTTACAGGTCTGCAGTGGGTGTGGGCTGGAGGTAGCTGGGTGTGGAGGGGGCTCACTTAGAGGGTGACCTTATTTATAGTTATTGGTGATGGTCGCACTTGTAATTGGGTGTTTTCAGTTGTGGTAACTGTTTTTCTTTGTATTAATCTTGTTTGTTTTTTACTTGTAGCATGTCTCCTTCACCCCAGCTTTAGGGTGGAGCCTCAACCCTGCAGTAGTATCCTCACCTGTTAAAAGCACTTTTAACATTTTTTGTAAATAAAAGCTGCTGTATGGCTGTTAGACCCACACACTGACTGGCTTGCTTTGTTATTAAAGCTACCTGTGAAGTCCAGGTGTTACATACGTATCCTGTTTGCAACAAAGAACAGAAGAACAAACCCTCCAGCTCCACTGCAGTTACAACTAATTTCCACATCTAAGTGAAATTAATTTGCAGTTTTCTTTAATGACAAGGTTCAGGGCATCAAAAATGCCATCAATTCTACAACGTAGAAAACAACCCTGCAGCCACAGAGACACTAAGAGCTGAGTCACTTTGTACCTGTAACAAAACTGTCTGAGAGATCATCACGAGTTCATCTACATGCTGCCTCCATGTGTTACCCATTAGATTTCTAAAGTGCTGGAGATTGAGCAGTTTCATATCACCACTCGCTCACATAGTTGACATTTCACTTCAATCTGGAACATTCTCAAGATCTCTGAAAACTGTGTCATTAAGCCTTTCCTAAAGAAGAACAGTATTGCTGCTACAGCAGTAAACAATTAGACACTCATTTCAAATTTGCCATTTTTAGGCAAAGTCCTTGAAAAAGCTGCTTACCAACAGTCTAAAACCTGACTCCTGACATCAGGTTTGAGACTCCACCACAGCACTGAGACTGCTCTTCTCAAGGTGACAAATGACATCCACCTGAACACTGATGCAGGCAAAGTCTCAATACTTTGTATTTTAAAACTGAGCCTCTGTGATGAACGCTCTACAACAGGGGTGCTCACACTTTTTGAGCATGCGAACTACTTACAAAATGACCAAGTCATAAAAAGATCTACCTAATACAAAGCCAAACAAACTGCACTGAAGCACTCTGTGCCCCTTTTTTTGACCCTCACCCACAGTTTTGAGAACCTCTTCTTTAAGAGAACTTCCTCTGGCACTTTACACAAAACTGTGAAAAAAGTGAAGGAAGATTTTTAAACCTGTTTTTTAAAGTTCCAAACTGGAGTTACATTCTTTTCTGGTTTTGCAGTGATATTTACCAGCCTCTGCACATTTACCAAACCAAACACACATCGTGACAAACACAGATGCATTTGTGCACTTTTGTTAGACAAACTTCAGC